TATTTTAGATAATTTTGAGGTCCAGACATTTAACTTGATAACCTGAGAAGGTGGGCACGAAGGGGGGGATTTGTAAACCGGGGTTTTCCTTTAAGTCCCACTGGCCCCTGGGTACATCAAATTGTGCCCTTTGGGTTCCTTTAAGTCCCCACGGGCCCTGGGGTACATCAATTTGTGCCGGGGTTCCCTTTTAAATCCCAATGGCCTGAGGAACTCAAAAAATTGTGACCTTTCCTTTTAAAAATCCCAAAGGACCCTGGGTACATCAATATTGTGACCTGGGTTCCTTTAAGCCCACGGGACCCGAGGACACAATTTTGGACCTGGTTCCTTTAACCCCCCCACTGGCCCCTAGGTAATAAATTTTGTGCCCCTTTTTCCTTTAAGTCCCACGGCCCGGGGTACATCAATATTGTGACCGGGGGTTTCCCCTTTTAAGCCCACTGACCCGGGGTACATCAATTTTGGACCTGGGCCCTTTTTTAAGTCCCACTGGACCCTGAGGTACATCAATATTGTGACCTGGGTTCCTTTAAGTCCCACTGGACCCTGAGGTACATCAATATTGTGACCTGGGTTCCTTTAAGTCCCACTGGACCCTGAGGTACATCAATATTGTGACCTGGGTTCCTTTAAGTCCCACTGGACCCTAGTACATCAATATTGTGACCGGGTTCCAAAAAAGTCCCACGGACCCTGGGGTCATCAATATGTGACCTGGGCCCTTTTTAATCCCCTGGCCCTGGGGTACTCAATATGTGACCGGGGTTCCCTTTAAGTCCCACTGGACCCTGGGGTACATCAATATGGGTGATGTAAACGTTTGAAAACCAAATTCTTCACAATTAGGGGGCAAAATAATTCGGGAATTGCCTTAAAATTTGGCCAAAACAGGGATCACGGGAAACTCTTATTGCACGCCCCACTGGTGGGTTGATTTCACAATAAATTCCCCCACTTGGATGGCAAAACTAAATCCCCTTTTGGCAGTATACACAAAAACAAACCCCTTCCAGTTTATAAACCCGGAGATAAGCATTGGGTTCGAAGGTGAATTTACTGCGTATAAGTACGGTGGAGCGTCGAGGGAGGCTCTGGCAACGGGTTGTAAATTACGGGGGGAGTCGCTTGCTGTTCTGGGGCCCAGCACCCTGGGCTTCCTGCTTCACTTCCAGAGAACCCGCCAAAATACCGTCCATCACCCAGCGACCCCATATGCACAAGCACCATTTTTAAAACCCACACCGTTCGCAAGAAAAAAAATAAGAAAAAAATCGCATACCGTGGTTTACATTAAACCCCAATTTTGATAAGGGTTTGAACGATGTTTCGGCCTTTCGGGATCATTAAGGTAAAAACCCTTTTTGGCTTAGCCCCTTCTTTTTGATTTAATAATAATAATCTGGATCATTAACTGCTGGGGAATGAACCATAAGAGCCGAAACGTTTCCGGTTTTTTGGGTTTAGTTGTAAAATAGCATAAAAAATTATTGAAAAAACCATACCCCGGGCGAGGATAGAACCCCGATCAAACATGTCTCAAGTGCTGCATTATTTTCCTTTGGTCAATTTTTGACTAAAGGGGGCCGTCGGTCTTACCATTAATTTTTAAATACGTCAAAGTTTGAACATCCAACTGGCCTTTTTTGGGGGGGAATTGATCAGGGGGGAGACAACTTTTTTGGCTTGAAGGCTGTCGGGTGTAAGCAAGATAGTATTTAGGAAGAATTAAAGGAATGGTTAGCTGGACTTGAGTCCTGGAGGGGAAAGTACACCGGGATTTCCCTAAAAGGAGTTCCGGGGGTAAAACGCCCCCGGGCCGGTCTTTTGACCAGCCTCCTGGTGGATAGAGCCTTAACCAGGTGTTATGCGGCGTACGAAAACCAACGTAAACCCCACAGCCCGGCGGGGTCAGGAAACCCGATTTTGGGTGCTTGCCCAGTGCCAGCTTGAAGATGCCGGGGGTCTGTTGGTAATCCCCCTTATGTATGCGGGGGGCAGTTAACAGTCCGGGCCCCTGACATTATTGTAGGCCTTAACGTCAGGACACCCCTTTTTTTCTTTGGGGGTGTGTATAGTGTCTGGTACTACTTAAGGGAAATGTTAAGCCACAGACACTAAAGTATTCATACACAGTACCATGGCAAAGGGTCCCCTTTATTATAGCTGTCTTTTCCCCTCGACCTTGATAAAAATGTTTCTCAAATACAATTGTTTTAAAAAAATATTTGACAGAAATGACAAACTTTTTAAAACCCCCGGTTATATAAAACTTTTTGGACAGTACAGAACATTATTATTTTTATTATTATAGGGGGAGCCTAAACCTGTTGTTTATACAGCGCCGGGGACGACCCAAAATTCCCTAATCAAGGCCCTTCAGAGCATCAAAAAACCTTCCCTGAGGGATAAGAAAAGGGGTTTTTCATTCACCCACCTGTCAATAAAAAATTTATCCACGTTCCTGCGGTATTTTAAACCAAACTTTCTCTATACCTTTTCCCTTACCCAAGTTTTTTTTACTTTCTGTTTTAGATAAAAGCCTTTCCTTGCCTTCTTTCATCAACTAGTCGTTTTTATTGTCGAAGAAGGGAAATTTCAATACCGGGTGGAACATTCACAATAACCAACGTATAAATAGTTCATCCCACGTAATCGTTTACCTATCAATCTTTTGCGGTCCTTTCCGGACCCATTAGTGTTTTCTGTCTTTTTTTACTACCCCCCACAAAGGGGGTACGGGGTAATAAAATATTTAACTGCCCCACAAAAAGGAAAAGCCCTAGATGGGTTGCCCCCGGGCTGTGGTTCGTAGTTGGTTGCGTGAAACCCAAAGAAACACCCGGTTTATCGGGCTCTATCCCCAGGGGGCCTGGTCACGACCGGGCCGAGGGGCGTGCCCCCGGAAACTCTCTCCAGGTATAAAGACTTTGGTCCGTCCCCCCCTGATTATATACCTAAAAGATATACCTTTTCGGGGAAAATACCCCTCCTGGGGCTGGGGGTCCCTATATATCAACGTTTTCACAAGAATCAGTAGTATGAATGATAGGGGGTCAAAAAGGGAAAGTTGATAATAATATAATTTTCTACAAGTACGTGATACAATTTTAAACAACCAAGCTGCGTCAGCCCAAAAACTGTATAAAAGCCCGGTTAATAAGTTTTCTGGAAAATTAGGATTATTTTGCCCCGGGTATTTTTCAGATGCATCCACACCAGTCGGCTAACACCCAGGTACCTATTTTATACAGTAAACAGGGACGAAGGGTGCTTAAGGAAAACGCCAAAATTTTTTCCACCCGTCCTTGAAAAAAAACCAGGGACCTCACTGTGTGAGTTGAGTCACTACCAACCGAGCTACAGTATTGACGGGTAAATGGGTCCTGCCCCCCGCATTATTTCAAATACCATTGTAGTGTGTGTGTACATACAAGGGGGATACCAGGGCCTTTGGGCTGTCTTCACAAAGGCGCTGGACAGGCACCTATCGTACCTGACCAGCCGGGCTGGGGTTTCTTACATCTTTTATTCGGCAGCAGTAAACAGCCTGGTTTCAGGCCCTTCTCCACCAAGGCCCTGGTCAGGGGACTGGGCCGCAGGGGCATTGACCCCTGAAACCCTCTCTGGGTAACACTAGGTACTCATATAACGTTCCCAATTGTTTCCCAAAATTACTGTGGGCGCATATTCTTAATGTGTTTTTTACAAGCAGGTCACTACTGCACCTATTGAATTTAAACCCTTTAAAAAAATTTTTTTCATCCAAAAGAAATTTTTTTTTTTCACTCCCGGCTTTGAAAAACATTTTAAAAAACACTCAAACACATTTTACGCCATTTTTTGTTTGATATCTATTTCCAGTAATAAAAAGCTATTTATTATTATTAAATTTATATTATTATTATTTCATTTAACTAAAGCAAAAACTTGAAACCCAATTTTACTGCGTAAGGAACAATGTCACAGTGAGAGAACGGGTCAAATTTTACAAGCATATCTAACTGACAGTTAAGAGCACTATGAACAAAAAGGGAGAAAAAACCTCAATTGGAGACAAATAAAAAAGCAACTATGTCAGAGTTACAAGTCCCAGATAAAAGATATAGGGATAATGTAAGTTGCAGGTGCTAGCTGGGTATGTGAATGCCACTCTGGGGCACTGAAAAAATTATCTCACAGGAGACAGGTATTTTATTCTTTTTTGGGGGGAGGCACTAAACCATATAGGCATTACTGGCTAACGTCGTATGGAATTAAGGGAAAGAAATATTAGATTACTATAAAATTTTAGGAGTAAGAAAGGTGTAAAACCTATGGTATCAGTAAGGTCAAATGCTGGCCCATTCTTTGGTAATTTGTCATTTAACCACGGGCGATCCAGAACTTCTTACATTGAGGAGAGACCAAAACCTGGTGAAAATGAAAAAGGGGGAAAAGGGGACAAAAATGGTAGGGAGCATGGCAGTACCAGCTTAACCAAGTGGTTTCTTAAAAGCTTTTTTGGGTTCGAGGGGGGTTTCCCCCTTCATGTGTAGGTCAAAGAGGGTGTTGCAGTCACTGAAGACCACAACTAAAGTAGCATTCATCTTCAAACAGGTATAAATTTGGGGAAACGTGGGTGCAACAGTAAAAAGGCACTGTCAGATTGAAAAAAGGGTTAAAACAAACCCCGATTAAAAAAAGTACGTGGTACTTAAGTCCAATTGTGTTTAGCTATTGTTGATAAAGGTGAACCAACATGAAACCCCGGGTGAAAAATGCCTTCTTTCCACTGCGGGTCTGCAAGAACCCCCCGTAGTGCTTCTGCCCTTAGAAGCCCTGCAAATCTATACATGCCTCATAGTAAGACCCAAACCTTCAAGGGGACATCAGTTCCCCCTTTTTCTAATAGTTTTTTTCCCCCAAAATCTACCTTGTAAGGGGGGTACAGCAACCCCCAGGGGGGGTACTACCGTCCGCCAAAGGGGTGTAAACGAAAGCCTGTAATGTTTTACAGAGGTAGGGTTGCGGTGTCCTTTTTTTTTTGTCTCTGAACAGCAAAGTTTAAGGTATGCTTGCTACTTCTACTTACACTTAAGTCACACACAATCATTAAAGCATATAAAACACACCCCTCGGGTTTTTTCTATTTTCTTACTAGTTCTTGTTCTTTTTCATTTCCCCTTACCTCCGGGGGGAATGGGAAAAGAAATTTTTTCCCCGAAAAATGCATTTGTAGAGGCGACTAAAATCCAGGAGCAAGGGGTAGTAACCCCCTTTTCCGTTTAAATTTCAAAATTTAAAAAAAAAACTTTCATTTTTTTTGGGCCCCCCCGCCCTTTTTTGGGGAAAGGCCATTTTTTGAAAAAAAATCTACCTTGTTCAAATTACTATTGCAGAGCTTCCCGCAAAGCTTAGACCTCTCAACAATTGTCCTCAGGATTGCTAAGTATACCATGAATTAAAGGAAAGACCAACTTCATCTTATGAAATAGACAAGGGAAATGGATAGTAATTTTGGACAAGGTATATTAAAGGGAAAAAAAAACAGGTATTAGGGGGAAAGGGGAAAACCCTGCACCTCCTTAAGCAGAAAAAAATTTTCCCCCACAGCTCCACCATGGAAGGGGCCCCTAGAAAAGGGGCCGGGGAGCAAGCTTTTTCTCTTCATTTGTAGCTGTAGATAAAAAAACACCATTATTATTTAATCAAAAAAAGCGCTAAGCCACAAGACTATACAGCTAAGAAAACACCCAAAATTCAGTTATTATATTTTGGGGAAAAGTTAAACTCGAGGCATACAGTGCCGGGGAATAGGAAGCAAACAGGGTTTAATCAGAGGGGGTGGGCAAGTTTAATTTCTTGGCTCATATGCCCTCACCAGCATCATGAAACCCCCCTTGAGGTGGACAGTGTTAAAAGTAAAAACTGCAAGAAGGAAAAAAAAAAATGAAAAATTTTTATTAACAAAACCATTATAACCCATTTGCTAACATAAAAGATTTATTAAAAAAGGGAAAATCCAGAAAGCAAGCAATTTTATTTTTCCACGGAGCCTTTTACATTTTCCTAAAAAAACCCACAAGGCGACCAGCTCCTGGGCACCTATTTACTGAATAAACAGGGGCATTAGGGTAAAGAGACTAACATTTTTACACTGACATCATTAAACATGTTGGTTAATTCACCACAGGGTTTTTAAAATTAAAAAAATTTGAATCGACATCCAATACTTTGCAGTACAGACAGTAAACATGGCAAAAATAATCCCCCTTTCATAAAAGACCATTTTACAGATACAGTGGAACCCCATTTTCATCCTTAAACTGTTACAGTTACTAAAAACAACGACATAGCCTCACCCACAAAGGGGGCAGTAAACAAGAGCAAGAACTCAACCGATAGCACTAACATCCCCAAAAAAAAAAAATCTTTGAAAGGGCCAAGAACAAAATCACCCCCCATCAAAACCCTCAGTTACACAACCCAGGGCAACATGGTTTTTAAACAGGGCGTCCTTTCGTCTCAAATTGGATCACTAGGGCAAGGGCCTAGATGCACAGAAGACAAAAAGAATGCAGATTAAATATAAGAAATTTGCAAACCTTCGCAAGTGTGACCATGGGGTAATAGGGCACAAAAAGCGTGTAAAGGAATAACAGAAAAGCGGTCAATGGATCTATAATTTCCTCACTAAACAAAAAAGAGTAGTATAGCAACAAAATAAAGTCCAAGGGGAAAAACTACGGGGAAAGGGTCTGTTCCACAAGGCCCCAGTACTTGCTCCCCAACTTGTTCCTCATCCCCATATCTACTAGACAAGGGGTCAGCCACACACCGTGTCTTCCTTTGCAGATGACCCCCCAAAAGCATGACATGTCTTTCCCTTGCAACACTGCAAGGCTCCGGGGGCATCAACCCAAAATTTTTAGTGGGCGCAAAAACAATATGAATTTAACGATGAAAAAATTTTTAATTACTCAGATATGGGAAAAATGAGGGAAAATTTAAAACTTCACAAGTACAAAACAAATTCGGCCACAAAATAGAGCGAAACACCAATGCAAAGACCTGGGATGTCATGTCAGAGGGTTTCCCCTTTAAGGCCATAACATTGTATCAACGCATCTGCAAAAAATGACAGGGGGTAAGAGAACCTTCAAAACTAGGGAGGCCCAAACCATGATACACCTTTAGGTCCTTTTTCTATCAGGGTGGAATATTGCTGCACACAACAGCACCTTTCAACAGGTAAATTGCAGACCCAAAAATGACAAGAACCTTCACGGCGCCATAAGGAGATAAAACACCTCAAATTTCTGGGAGCGCTTTGGGGTTTCCAAAAACCCGTATTTTTCCCGGAATGCAGGCGGGAGAATTTTGATTATATACACCTGAAAATCCTAGGGGACTAGTACTGAACTTTGCACACGAAAATCACTCACTACAAAAGCAAAAAAAACTTTGGGAGCGATGCAACATCCCCCCCAAAGAAACAGGGGTGTCACTAAATTTTTGAGACCCTACAATAAGTTTCGGGGCCCAGACTTTCAATGCTTCCCACAACATAAGGGGGTTACCAAAAGACCCCTGGCAGTCTTCAAACGGCACGGACAAGCACCTAAAGTCAGTTCCGATCAGCCGGGTGTGGCTCGTAGTTGGTTTTCGTGCACCACAGTAAACAGCCGGTTGTCAGGCTTGACCACCCGGAGGCCTGGTCACAGACCGGCCCCGGGGGGGGTTGACCCCAGGAACCTCTCCAGGTAAACCCAGGGAAGGTCGTCGAAATTCGAAATGACGAAAATGAAGTAAATTTTCCCATAAGAAATACTGTAAATCCAATTAATCCATTCCAGACACCCAGAAATATTTTTCAAAAAAACATTTTTAAAAAGAATAAAAACTTGTTAGTATTTTACATAAAAAACAAAGAGAAAAATAAAAGCACTAATTTTAAAAGAAAAATGAAACATTTAAAAACCCTTTTATCTTTACTGAAGATCTTGTTGGCAATTCTTTATAGATCTGCAAGCAACGCCTTGCCTTTTTCAAAATTTCGCCTCCACAACACTATCTCCCACAACGTTTTTTTGTTTATCCAAACCAACACTTCGATTTTTGGGCCCCACTGCCACCCCACCACCTTTACAACCACAACCACCCTCTACCACCATCACAACCACAACCCCCCCTACCACCATCACAACCACAACCCCCCTCACCACCATCCAACCAAACCACCCCTACCACCATCACAACCACAACCACCCTCTACCCCCTGGAGTTTACCTGGACCACCATCACAACCACAACCACCCTCTAGCACCATCACAACCACAACCACCCTCTAGCACCATCACAACCACAGCCACCCTCTACCATCATCACAAGCACAAGCACTCTCTACCATCATCACAACCACAAACACCCTCTCCCGCTAACACTACCACCCTCTACCACCATGAACTCGCAGAGTATTGCTCATTGAACAAGTGACAGAGGCAGACTGAGTCACGTACACGTGAGCGGCCGCGTCCTGGGCAAGCAGACGTGTCTGATACGGACGATTTCCGAGTGGAGGTACGAAACCCGGGGTTCCACTGTACTTGCCAGGATACAAAGGAAACATATGCCTACAATATCAACAGCTATTAGGAATGACATCAAAAAATGATAAATATAGGATAAATACAAGAGAGATGTATAATTTGAAAATATATATTTTATCTTGACATCAAAAAATAGAGAATTTTTTACAGAGTACAATATAGTTATCTTGTTCTTATTTTGGCTAAAAATATTTCATAGACAATTAAGAAATTATTCATCATAATCTCAAGCAGCATCAACTAAAATGTCCAGTAACAATTAAATCACTTTTCATTTTATTGTATGTAAATTACCTAATAAAACCTCACTTAAAAATACAAAATGTAAAAAAAACCATTTTCAAGATATATCAGACACAAACTGAGCAACAATAATTTGAAGTTAGAGTCCATCACTAATACTTTTGATATACCTTTGAAGAGTTTCAAGAGTTTCTCTACTCTCTTAGCCCAGCATGGGCCAGGCTCGTCTGATGCTTGCCTGGTGAACCAGGCTGTTGCTGCTGGTGGCCCACTGCCCCAAATATCCATCACAGCCTGGTTGATCTGGGAGCTGGTGAAGATACTTGTCCAGTTTCCTCTTGAAGGCTTCTACACTTGTTCCAGCCGTGTTTCTGATATCTTCTGGTAAGATGTTGAATAGTCTGGGTCCCCAGATGTTGATACAGTATTCCCCTATTGTCCCCACCACACCCCTGCTCCTCACACATAACTTGCACTTGATGTGAAATATTATTATTATTATAATCAAAAGAAGCGCTAAACCCACTGGTGTCATACAGCGCTGAAGGTCAGGGGGGTGTGGCTGTAGTAGAAAACAGCCAGGGGTGGAGAGGATAATAAAGGTAGAGTTAGAAGATTCAAGGACAGTATGAGGCAATGAGGAAGGGATCTTGGAGTCCAGGGCTGCAAAAAAATTAGAAACAGGTGACTGTGGAAGTTGTGCCCACAGAAGAGACTGTGGAAGTAGGTACCACAGAGGTTGGAGGCTGCTTAGTACCTGTAGAATAAGAAAGCTGTGTTAGTCTTCCTTGGAGGCAGAGATGAGAAACTGCCATGGTATACATGAAACCTTCTTTCTCTGTGAGATAGCAGATTTCTCATTCTTTTGAGTAAACTTGGCAATGGCATGAATAAGCCGGGTGAGCCTCATTATAATTAAGGCAAGGGGGAGGTAGGCCACAAGATGTATTGGTATGGTCGACAGCACCAGACTGGGCATTCTGCTATGGACCAACAATTTCTACACTGTTGTGGTGTAGAGACTGACTCTCAGACTTGTAAACAGTGTCCTGCAATATAAACTGAGGACGGAAGTTCTCGGCAGTCAAAAGTTAAGCAAGCTACACTGCAGGCGAAGTGTCTCCATCCACAGGTAAGTAGTACATAAGTGTCCACTTTGAGAATTGGGAGGTCTTAGAGTTCAAGTTGCTTCAGAATGTCAGTATCACATGTCTGGAAATCACACTGAACAATGGTGTGAGGCAGAACTACATTACAACTTTAAGAATTGAGAGAAATGAGTTTTTGAATCGAGACAGGAATATCGCCTATGGAGGTCAGAAGGGAAAGACTGTGAGCCTGGCCAGCATTTTGCACCATGACAATGTGTGCACCACTCTTAAGAGTATGAAATGAAACATTCTGACCAACATGGCATAGGAGTGCCTTGCTGATACGATGATCAGAAAGATAGTCAGTGGGAGATGCTGGTTGCAGAGTGAAAAACTTAGTCAACATTAAGTACTTTGAAACGTAGTGTGTAAAAGGAGTGAGTGTCATGCTGATCTTTTCTGGAAAGAGTGAGAG